TTAAAAATCACAGTTATTAAAATATGACAACATGACTTCTCATCTTGAAGACGTGAGTTCAAATCTCACAAATACCAATCTATTATCTGATTTTAGAGTTATAATTTAGAAAAATTTATTTTTTTCTATTTCAAAATATAAAATTAAACCTTATTTAAATTAACATTAAAATCCCAAATCGAGGCCAACAACAAACCTTTTTTTGTCAATAACTCATTTCTAATTTCCAAAACGAGGCACTTAATCAACCCAATAAAAGTCCTCTTAAATTATTATGAATCATTGAATTCCAAATGACACTTTATCTTCCTTTTTTTGTCGGAATTAGAGAAATTATTGCTGTGAGAATTTTCCAATTTTTCTTATTCTTACTAATTCTATAAAAATAAATTAAACTTACCTCCATTAAAAAATTGAAAATTCCGTTCCTTAATATTAACTTGAAGTGCATTTCACTGATGAATTTATTTCAAGATTATCCGTTTTTATAACCAAAGGTTTGGTTCCTTTTTAATTTTAACTTTGCTTGCTGTTTTTTTTTCAGCAGCTTTTATATCACTTTTTTCACTTCTTCAACCCTCTTTTCACTGTTGCTTATTCTCCTTATTTTTGTGGAGGGATATAACACACACTGCTTCCTGTATTATTCTTTGATACTTAATTCTATTTGCTTACATGTAGAAACATATATTCAAGCTACTCGCGCTTTTTTAATACACACGAAAAATAAAAGCTTTGCCTGGAAAAAAAAGCATTGAAATTTATTTTATTTTTGTATTAAAAATCTCGATTGTTTTTATGTCACTGCTTTTGCAGTTGCTGTTTTTTATGATTTTAAGGCAATATATTTAAAATCACAAGAAAGCGCATTTTTGTCGAAAAGCTTTGGGATGATTTGAAGCTCATTATGTCTTAGTGACTAGGCTTAGACTAGGTTCATTCACTGGCTAGATCTAGCTATAAAATGAAAATGATGACAAGCTGTATTTTGAAGCTTAAACCATAAGTTGTGTGGTAATATCTTTATATAGTATAGCCAATTGTAATCTGAATATCGAGCCATATGTACGCGATTCTGTCAATGTAAAAGTAAGACATGGCATTTTTTGTGAGCATTTGGGTTCGATTCCCACCAGAATTAATAATTACATAGAGAAGTGTTATCTGAAATTTTTTGTGATACAGCACACAGTTTGATAGTCCACGACCGAAATCACACACAACGTACAGTTTATAGCATTTTCTGAATTGTTCTGCGTCACAAAGTTTGGACAATACTGCCTAGGATAATGTCGATTTGACACGAATTCGCACAATCATTACGATAAGAAAGGGATAGTTTTTGATATCAATTCTTACTTCATTCCTAGTCTAGGCTAGACATATATATGTTATCCCTATCAACCTTGTCCCTCAATTAACTCTCTAGACACTTCTGCTTCTTACAGAATATTAATTCTTACCTTAAAACAAAATAAAGTTGTCTAAACTGTACTTAAAATATGAAAAGTGCCACGAGTTGATAATTATAATCCTCAGAGAAGGAGGTCGCTGTCTCCATTTTAATTTTTCATTACTGTCTGTAGCAACTACATGTTCACTTTATAACAATCGACTTTAAACTAACCGCAAAATAAAATTCAACTTAATTTATCGAAATGAAAATGATTGCCTTGATTTGAAAATTTCTTAAATTATTAAAAATGAGTTTTTCTTATTTGTTGAAATTGAGGTTTTGATGCTTATTAAGTTTGTCATTATTCAATTTTTTATTACAAAATTAGCTACTTTTGCGGATTACTTGTGAGCAATTTTAAACTGAGTGACACATTGTTCCATGATACTTTATAACCTTAGACTATATAGTCTCTTTCCAAAATAGCACAAGTCGAGTAATCGAATAGAAATGTAGCATGAAGCCGGTGTGACTCTCGCATCGTGCTGGCTTCGATTTAAATCTAGCACCATGCCAGAGTCACACCGATTTGGTGTGATTTTTAATCGAATAACCAACTTGTGCTTTTCGGATCTGTAATACACTCCTTAGTGATGACAGCATTGATTATTTTTTGAGCAACGATAAAGAGAAGTCGAAAGAAAGTTCCCTTGCTCGGGAGCTTTTAAATAAAATATACTCCATAGCTCATTATTCCCTCGAAAAACTCGTCTGTCATTTCTTCAAAAATTCAAACTTTCTGAAGTCAAACTCTAAAATATGCAACATCATCTCAGTCCTGCATGTCTTAAATCACAACACAAAATGGATTTACAATTTTTTACATCAGCTGAGATGATTTCTGTGGAAATTTTATTCTTTTATAAATATTTCAGAACTACATTAGTCAATGATGCAGACCAAGACATTCCTATTTGTTAAGGAACAAGGTATAAATATGGAAATTAATGGAAATTTATTTTACTGAATTCATAAAAGCTTAGTTAAAGCTATTAAAGGTAGAAGCAGATAAGAGAATGAATGCTTTAAGGCTTTGGTGTCTGATTTTGTGTTTCGATGTGATTTATTTTGTAATGAACTAGAAGATGATTGTAAAGTTTGTAGATGAGGACTTATTGCTTTACATTAGGGATCTTATGTGGAGGGAAATTCTTTTGGAATTCAATTTAAAGCTTAAGAATTGAAATTTAAGTTTGGACGTTTACTGAAGCCCCTGGGACCTGTTTTTTGAGTTGACTGTTTCTAGGGCCTGTTAGTCGGGGTGCCTGGATATCTAGGTCCCTAAGAGTCTACAATCATTGACGTGCACTATTGTTTATAATTAAAGTTAACTGTTCATAAAGAAGGTTCCATATGTAGCCCAAAAAATTGGCTCCTGATTAAATTATGGCAAATAAGGACACAAAATATTTATTTTTTGAATTTTTGAACAGAATTTGATTTGGGCTGTTCTCAAATAAAGGATCTAAATCCAATTTTTGCGGAGACATCATTAATAAATGATACTTAATTGTTGCTACACAACACCTAATTTTTGACTGCGATAGCTTAGCCATCACTATTCCAAATTAAAAACACAAACATGAGCACTAGTAAAAAAAATTTCACAAATCAATTAAAAGCTTTCGACAAAAATGCGCTTTAATAAAACAAATTCCACTTATTGACTTATTTACTTTATTTAATAACACATAGTTTCATCAATCCACTCAATGTACGTCTACTGTTTTTTATTTTTTTTTTGGCATTCGATGAGATTTTCACTTTCCACGACAATAAATTGTTACAAAAAATCGAGCCAACGAATGAAAGTTCTGTAAGTTCTTTAATGATATTTCAATATCAGACTGTCTGCTTTCTCACACACAGCACAGCATCAACTTAACGAGACAGTCTCACACAAAAAAAAATATGAATTTTTATCCGTAATTTTCGTCCACGACACAAAAAAGCTCTGGCTTATTTTTGAGGATTTTTTTTTACATTAAATTAATTAATCATCGTCTATGTTGTGGCTATAGACATGATGACGATGTCAAAATTTAAATATTTTCCTTTCATTTCCTCATTTTTCATTAACAATCAAAAAATTCCTTTGCCTTAAAAAATTTGACTGTAAATATTTTTATTGTGATGGAGAAAAAAATCCAGCGAGACAAAAAATCAGCGAGCTTATCACCACGACCGATGACTCAATACTGATGAATTTTCCCGTTGAAATTCCTTTAAATGAGTGATGAGCGAAAGGAAAGAAAGGAAAAACAACATCTTCCTTTACCGTAACCAATACAGACGCAGATTTTGTGGCACATGGAAAGTACGTACGAAGGATATTTTGTATATCCTTTACACAACCTTCACATGTAGTCGTGTGACATTGAGAGAATATTTTATCATTGTATTGATATTATTGTGAGAATGGAGCTACAGCATCCCATTATGAAGTCAACGTGACTGCATTCCAGTCTATAAAAGTTTGGATGTTTTGGAAGGATGAAAATATTTTGGAAATTGTGTTTACATAATGTTGCATGGCATAATATTGGGAGTAAACGTGGTCGTGTTAGATCAATGTGCAATTTTGCCTTTCCAAAAAAAATTGTTATTGCTCATTTACATAAAATGGGTGTGTGCGTAAGTTATGGAAATTTTTTGAAAAGGTAGAATAGCTTTGGAATTCAGAATTTATTTTTGTTTATGAATTGTGAATTTATGGAATTTTTGTTTGACTGCTTTTGCGATAAAGCACGTTGATTTTTTAATTTGTGCGTAGGAAATGTGAAGTTGTGTATTTTTTTCAAGGGAATCTTTTTAAAGCTTAGCTTCATTTTAAATCGTTACGTTCATTTAAAGCCACTCTTTAGAAGCAAAGCTTTATTCCAAGTAAAGCTTCATTAAAAAACCAAGCTCTAGAAGCAAAGCTTCATTTAAAGCTACGCTTTAGAAGCAAAGCTTAATTAAAACCAATTTTTCAGAAGCAAAGGTTCACTTAAAGCAAAGCTTCTTATAAAGCCTCGCTTATAAAGCAAAGCTTCTTATAAAGCCTCGCTTTAGAAGCAAAGCTTCATTCCAAGCCGCGCTTTAGAAGCAAAGCTTCATTCAAAGCCGCGCTTCAGAAACAAAGGTTCATTTAAAACCAAGCCCTAGAAGCAAAGCTTTATTTAAAGCTACGCTTTAGAATCAAACATCGTTTTTTTTTTCATCAAGCCACGTTTTTGAACCAGAGCAGAGCTTCATTTAAAGCCACGCTTTAGGAACAACGCAAATCTTTAATAAAGCCATGCCTTAGAAGAAAACTTCGTTTGAAGCCCCGATTTAGACTCAAAGATTCATTTAAAGCCTCGCTCTAGAAGCAAGGCTTTATTATAAAGCCTCGTTTGTAAAAGCAGAGTTTCATTCAAATCCTCATTTTTAATACAGAGCTTCTTTTAGAAGGTAATCATTCATTAATTAAAGCTTTAGAAACCAAAAAAATAGAAAAATCCCAAACAATCATTAACTTCAGTCAAATTTACATCCACACATTATCACTAATCACCAAGATATTTATTTGATAAATCTATTTCAATTAACTAAACAACTGCTCGAATCATTTTTAATTTCACTTTGATTTTATTAACATAAAAATTCATGAACATCATTAGACAATTTCCTATAATTATCTTCATTCTCATTACATCAGTCGTTACAGTATATCCGACAAACATACTTATTTCCATTATTTTCTATATTAAACAAACATAGCATGTAAAGCTACAATATAGACGAAAAAACAACAGAGTTTAGTCAAAGGATAATAAGAAGCTAGGGTCTATTTACTTATTACGGCCTTTATTTTTGGGGGATTAGGGGCTGAGCGGTTGAGACATGTGACATTTTAATACAATAGAAAATTTTGCGACAAGTGCGGGAGGATGTCTCATAATTTAAATTATGTGACGTCATTGATAAACAACCCCCAAAAGAAAAAGGAAAAAGAATATTCAAATGTGAACGGATACAATCAGAAAGACGCAGTAATTGTGGACAACATCATTAAATATTCATTAAATTAAATAGGTAAAAGCTCATCGTCAATTTCCTCATCGGAATAGCTTTCAACAATACGTCTGCCTGATGTCATCGGACGCTTTTGCATACTGTCGGCCTCTAAAGGATCTGAATATGAGTAATCGATGGGAGAATTTATATTTGGTGAATTTGCATAATTTGTCATTTGTGTCGAGTATTCAACATGCCCATGACTGCCGCCACTTGACTTTCCACTGCTTGATAAACGTGAATGAATTGATGTGCCGGGACGAATTGCACTGCTAATTCTCTGTCGTACTTCCTTTTGCTTTTCAATTTTCTCCAATTTATCGACATAAATGTCGTGCAGTTCATGCATACCTTGTGAATTGGTCAAATGAATCAGTGCACGTAGGCAGTCGATGTTTTCAGGAAATTTATCATGAATCTGCTGAAACAGTTGCATTGATTTTTGAGAATTGATCTTGCGATAGCTTCCAGCAACACGAAGCAAAAAGTACGAATCATTTGGATTATTTAGAACTGCTTTTTCAAAGAAGCTTATTGCTTTCTCAGCAATTTGTAGTTCAATGTAATGACTCCCAATCCAATTGACAATCGAGACATCGCTTGGATAGAGACGATACGATTCAAGGTGATAATGAAATGCTTGTTGACGTTCGCCTTTTGCTTCATAAAGCTCACCGACTTTCTTTAATACGCCAGCATCTGATTGGACGATGCCAAGCAATTGATGATACCATTCTAATGCTGCACTTATATCGCCCATCAACTCATACACGTTGCCAATTTGAAAAATTATTTCCGGGTGCTGCTGATGTCCCAGATTTGCATTAAGCTTGTGGAAATAGTTCAAGGCTTCATCGTAATCTCCCGTTTTCTTATGAATTAATCCTGTATGTGCAATATATAGAAAGAAGGATGTGATGGATATATAAAAAAAATTGGCACTAATATGCTCGGCATGTGAATGACTAAAGCGAATTTTTTTCAATAATGGAATTTACAGTTCAAAAATTAATTGAAAGATAACTTCCATAAAATATTTGAAATATAACTGTCAAAAAATATTTGAAAGAATCAAGAATTTTAAAGGCAGACAGACAAACAGACAGACATAATAAAATGCAACAGAGTATCTTTCCATTTGAAATGCAATAAAAATTCATCATGTCTTGCCTCTTTCACTTTTTTTTATGTGAAAGTTTTGCTCAGAAAGCATAACCTTACCCATGTTATATAGTGCCTCAAAAAGCGTAGCGTCAATTTCAAGTGCATTATTGAACATAAACTTTGCAATGTCGTACTTCTCCTTCATCATCTCACATACACCACTGTTGACAAAAGCATGAGGATTGTAGGAGTCAAGTTTACGGGCTGATTCTGCATACTTCTCCGCTGTCTCCAAGTCACGCTTCTGTAGAAAAGATTGAAGTTGTTGAAGATGTTGTAAAATAGTTTTTTGAATAGAGCTTTATAGAGTTTAAGTTTTGTTTGAGAAGAACTAAACCGCCTTGCTATAAATATGTGAGTATGTTGGAAATTTTTTTATCGTTGGTTTAAACTAATAATTATCGAATATAGTCTATTATAGTTTTAGAAATTACATTATTATCGAGAAAAACTTTAATATGCTGATGATTCTTAGTTGAACTGGTATGTGCTGTCATTAATATATACTTAACATATATCCATCACAGACGATAAGCTAAACAAGCCTGAGTGGTAAAATGGTCTTGAGTATTAGTATTTTTTAGATTCCCTAGCAATCTTAGGTTCGAGTCCAAGTAGATTCAACATTATCACTTTTTATAAGTAAAGGATACTAAAATTGAAGCCAAAGGTGTTCAAGGATGTTGTTAAAGATTAAAAATGACAAAATTCTTTAAGCTGTATGCCTCTTGCATCAAATTTCACACAACTATGATTATAATTACTCTTTAATAGCCATTAATTCTTCATCAACTATTCAATTCATCTTCCACAACACCTCTTAAAGCAACCTCACCAATAAATAAATGAAGGTCAAATTGATCGCAGCATTAACAGCAACATTCGAGTCCTTCTTTTCAAAGTACTTTAAAGCATCAATCGCTTGATTAACATCATCAAGTTTCAGGAAAATCAATGCTTTATTGATTTCAAGTTCAGTTGCAAGTTTTGAAAATCCACTATACTTGATTGTCTCAACGCACCAAGTATATCCATCATTAAAATTATTCTCGATAACGGATGATATTAAATTAACAGTTATCAGGACACTTCGTTGTGCATTATTTCTCATTTTCTGTTCATAATGATGTAATTCATCCGATTGAATTGTATTGTAAATGTATTCATGGGATGGATTCGTACTTGAATTGATGAGCTTCTCCTCATCATTATTAAAATCGATTGGTACATCAAGGAGATATTGAAATGCTTTCTTCATCTTTTCCGTATCACCCAAAGCATAATAGCACAGAACAAGATGCATTCCACTTTTAATGTCCCCCTTCTCGGCCATTATGAATTCAAAACTTGTTGCCGCATCTGAATATTGACCCATTTTAACGAACAGCACAGCAATATTATGGGTTATTTTTAATCTCAATTCCTTTTGATTTGATGGCACTTGATCGAGTGCCATTCGATACATTTTAATGGCTTTCGAGAATAAGCCTAATTGAAAATAAATGTTGCCCATGTTGATTTTCAAACGATTCACATTTGGAAACATTTTATTTTTTGTCATCAATGTGTAGGTGTTTAAGGCTTCGATGAACATCTCATTTTTGTAGTATAGATTTGCCAAGTTGAACAGGACCTGTTGATTGAAAATTGGAGGAATTGCCAAGAATAAGTAAATTGGAGGGGATTCAATTAGGTAAATCATGCATGAAGTTTGATGTGGGAATTCAAAAAAGATGTTTAATTTGGCTCTTTGCTGGAACTTGTTTTTTCTTATGTTTTTAATAACTCTTTAAATTATTACACGCTTATTTTTTAAAGACATATAAAAAAATATATTGCGCACAGTTAAGGTGTGTTGCATGGAAATTTATACTGCGCAACATTTAAGTGCGCCAAATAAAAAATCACACTACGCACCATTTAAGTGCGCCATACAAAAAATTATACTGCGCACCCTAAGGGCCCAAAATGAAAACTTATACTGCGCACCCTTAAGTGCGCCATTTCAAAAATAATACTGCGCACTATTTAAATGCGCCATTAAAAAAATTATACTGCGCACCCTTTTACTGCGCCATATAAAAAAATTAAACTATGCTCAATATTGACATTAGGATAGTAATCATCAAGGAAACTTAGCAATACTAAGGTCGTTTAGAGCTCAATGAAAACCTCAAGCACAGCTTTAATTAAAAAAAAATTTATAAATTCTCTCAAGGACTTCACCAATCTAATGTACTTTGGCTTCACTTAGAAATCACGAAAGAAACATCTTTCCAAAAATAAAATATTACGTCACATTCTATTGCCATGGACACCTGAGCCACTGAAAAAGCAATTCCATATCCAACAACAAACTCACCGAATAAGTCAAATCAAAATTGTGGGTGAAATTATTCGATCCACTCTGATTTCTCATTCGCAACAAAGTACGGTCCATTGATGACGCTTCCTTCGCTTTTGCCAAGCCAGCAATAACATCTGGCTTCGGTCCCGTGCTCACCAAAATCGACTCCTCAAGTAATTGAAAAATTTTCTTTTCGATATTTTTATATTTCTGTTCAGGACTGCATGAGAAATAATTGAAATAAAGCACATCAATCAATCGATGACTTTGTAACTCAATACTTACGTGTCTTCTTTTTTGGTTTCAAGCACAACCGTCTTCTTGGCTGCTTGATTGAATGGATCAAATAGAAATGAGTCGGATGAAAATCCAACGGCTCTAACAGCAGTCGAAGGACGAACTCGAGCTGCTGTTGATGGCATTTCACCAGTTCTCAGTCGTTCGCCAATCTAAATATAAAAATCCTTAAGTTCATTTACTTGACATTGATAATGTATATTGTTGCTTATTTACCCAATTGGTTTTCGGTGTTGTGGTTCTTTTGCCGTAACTCGAGACTTTAAGTGCACTCTGATATGCCTCATCGTCTTGATTTGCATTGTCGTAGATATTTATGACATTCTTATTGAAGCCACTGTATAAATCTACTTCTCGTACTCGATTTCCACTTGTTATAGTTCTTCTTGCACTCTGCATGATTGAATATCCTTTTTAAATTCAACAATTTTAATTTTATTTATTTCTTCTTTAAAAATCCAGTTAAAGAAAGTCAGTTCGTGTTTGTTTAGCTTTTTTCAATCTCCATGACGACAAAATCAATGTCATGGTAATGCCGTTGTTAAGTGTGCAACAGGTTTCATCAGATGTTTGAAATGTATATCCACACACTTTACTGTTTCATAATCACTTGTGTGGGGGTGCTTTAATGACAATATGACCTAAAGAATTGGATGCAGCAATTCATGAAATATTTATTTCCGACGACGAAAAGAAACAACACTTTAGAATATTTTATGAGGAGATGGCAACTTGAATTAAATAATTAAATTTTTGATGCTACTTAATGTCTTTTTGGTAGATGAAATTTTAAATACTATAATTTGTGATTTTAAATTCTACCTGAGAAAAGTCATAATTTTTTTTGTATGAAACGGTTTTTATGAGGTTTTAAAGAAAAGGAGCATATTTATAGCGCTAGTATAGAACTAGTTTATAATTATATCTAATTATATAATCCAATTTGAACGGGTTTTAAAACATTTGAACTGGTTCCCAACCATTTAAACTGATTCTCGTGCAATTGAAACAGTTCCTTAACCATTTTAAGTGGTTCCCAACCATTTAAACTGATTCTCGTCCGATTGAAACAGTTCCTTAACCATTTTAAGTGGTTCTCAACCATTTCAACTGGTTCTCGTCCAGTTGAAACAGTTCCTTAACCATTTTAAGTGGTTCTCAACCATTTCAACTGGTTCTCGTTCAATTGAAACAGTTCCTTAACCATTTTAAGTGGTTCCTCAACCATTTCAACTGGTTCTCGTCCAATTAAAACAGTTCCTTAACCATTTTAAGTGGTTCTCAACCATTTCAACTGGTTCTCGTCCAATTGAAACAGTTCCTTAACCATTTTAAGTGGTTCTCAACCATTTCAATTGGTTCTCGTCCAATTGAAACAGTTCCTAAACCATTTTAAGTGATTCTCAACCATTTCAACTGGTTCTCGTCCAATTGAAACAGTTCCTTAACCATTTTAAGTGGTTCTCAACCATTACAACTGGTTCTCGTCCAATTGAAACAGTTCTTAAACCATTTTAAGTGGTTCTCAACCATTTCAACTGGTTCTCGTCCAATATAAACAGTTCCTTAACCATTTTGAGTGGTTCTCAACCATTTCAACTGGTTCTCGTCCAATTGAAACAGTTCCTTAACAATTTTAAGTGGTTCTCAACCATTTCAACTGGTTCTCGTCCAATTGAAACAGTTCCTTAGCCATTTTAAGTGGTTCTCAACCATTTCAACTGATTCTCGTCCAATTGAAACAGTTCCTTAACCTTTTTAAGTGGTTCTCAACCATTACAACTGGTTCTCGTCCAATTGAAACAGTTCTTAAACCATTTTAAGTGGTTCTCAACCATTTCAACTGGTTCTCGTCCAATATAAACAGTTCCTTAACCATTTTGAGTGGTTCTCAACCATTTCAACTGGTTCTCGTCCAATATAAACAGTTCCTTAACAAGTTTAAGTGGTTCTCAACCATTTCAACTGATTCTCGTCCAATTGAAACAGTTCCTTAACCATTTTAAGTGGTTCTCAACCATTACAACTGGTTCTCGTCCAATTGAAACAGTTCTTAAACCATTTTAAGTGGTTCTCAACCATTTCAACTGGTTCTCGTCCAATATAAACAGTTCCTTAACCATTTTGAGTGGTGCTCAACCATTTCAACTGGTTCTCGTCCAATATAAACAGTTCCTTAACAAGTTTAAGTGGTTCTCAACCATTTCAACTGGTTCTCGTCCAATTGAAACAGTTCCTTAGCCATTTTAAGTGGTTCTCAACCATTTAAACTGGTTCTCGTCCAATTGAAACAGTTCCTTAACCATTTTAAGTGGTTCTCAACCATTTCAACTGGTGTTTGTCCAATTAAAACGGTTCCTTAACCATTTTAAGTGGTTCTCAACCATTTCAATTGGTTCTCGTCCAATTGAAACAGTTCCTTAACCATTTTAAAACTGACATTTAAAGTACCATAATCTCATTAAAAGGTTGTGGTTACATTAAAAACTTCTATTGATTTAATTTTATTGCAATCTTTTTATTCCTTTAATGATTATGCGAATAAATAATACAAATGCAACATGCGCTTATGAAATGAAAAGTTTTTAAATTATAATTTATATCCATCATCCTTTATTCTGGAACTTTCCACTGTAGCTGCTTCCCAATGTCATATAAATTATTGAGTGTTGAATTGACAATATCCTCAGCTTGTAACTTTAAATAATGTTTATAAAGTTGTAATGATGTCCTTGCATCCTCGATCGAGTCATGTGTCTCTGACTGAATATTAATGCCTGCGTAATAGAAAGTTATGTCAACAGAAAAAAAAATTTTTAATTAGTAATTCGTGTGGAATTTATAATCCATCAACTTTGTAATTACCCAAAAAGTGCCATGCGAGGAATTTTAATGAAATCATTCGGTGATGCGGAATGTGGAAGAGATAAACTGTGTCAATGATTTGCTTTGATGGAACGTGTAGATTAATTACACGAAAATCATTCTTCAATCCATGTCCAACGAAAATTACTCCACTGAGAAAAGAATTAATTGGAATTGATGATACATACTTAATTAATTAAGAACTTCTTACCTATCGACTAAGTATCTCAGCTTCTGATAAGATCTTTTCAATGTTGTGAGACGTTTATTACTCAAGTTGGCGTCGAGGTCGCCCGGCTTAATTCCCGAGAATTTTGTCAAGTAATCTGACACTTGCTCTTGGGTTAAAATGTAGTCATCAATGAAGGCAGTTCCTTCTTTCTCGTTGCTGGGTCTGTAATTTATGGAAATTAATTTGTGATTAAAAATCTTGCAATTAAATGAGATGAGCTCAGGGGAGTATGAAGATGAAGAGGAGTTGACCTAGTTTAAGGCATGCAAATAAAGCTATTAAGCCCTTGAGGGAAATAATAAGTTTAAAGATGTGAATGGATTCTTGGAAGGTTTAGATTATTTTTATTCTTTGGAGTTCGGATGCAAATTTGACTATTTGAAATTGTTTACTTCTTTATTACGTCATTGTGCTACTTCTGTTATGTAACTTTGACAAGAAAAAGGGAGTTTAGGTCTAAAAATAATATTTTTGATGAACGTAATTTGTGAACTACCCCAAAAAACTAGAAATGTGTTCTCTTTCTAAGTCTCCTAACTTCCTTAATCCTAAGCATCTCCAAAAAAACGAATTCAACGACACCAATCATTAGTAACAGAAGCTCAACTGTTCCTCAACATTAATTTCCCCCATAAAAACATAAAATACTCACCCTCTTATGCAGCTGATTCTCGCAACACTAGCAATTCTCGGTTTAAATGTTGTCATTTTTCCATCCGAACTAATTTCCGACTCTTCAGGATTTAGCGTTACAAATTCAGCATCCATTGCTACAATATCACCTTGTTTTGGAATTTCATCCTTAGTCAGCGGCAGAAAGTTCTTTGAGTCAACATCATAATTAGCCAAAGGCATCTCTTCCAGCAGTAAATTACTTACGAATGGACTCTCGTATATTGAATGTTCAGGTTCAGTCCATTCATAATTCTTATTCTTGTAAAACAGGACAGTAGGGACTTTCCATTCGAGAATGACCGATAGCACTTCATCCTCTTGAACTTTTCTGATGCAAAAGTCATTAAAAATGTACCATTGACTATTTCTCAAAATGAATGAGATTAAATTCTTCTGTTGGCCATTATCAATACAGTAAACGGCAGCTTGTAAGCTGTACTCTTGAGATGATTTATGTTCGACTGCATCGCTTGTGCTTTCATTGATCGAATTGTTCTCACAGTCAATTGAGATTGTAAAGCTTGTTGGGAACCAACGGTCAGATGATTTTCCAATTGTACCATTCGACGATGATGATTCACTTGTTGTCGTTTGACGTTGGGGATGTGAGAAATGACAATCTGTTCGCGTACATTTAATTCCATAACGACACTGCTTCTTAATCGCATTTTCAGTCTCATTGATTGGACTCTGATTGAACTCGTGACTGAGTTGATTTAAGTGCCTTTTCAGATATTCCAATTCCTTTTCATTATCGAGTCCGCAGTTTATTGCGAGCATGTTTGGTAATTCTGATACTCCTGCACAATGATTATGTGGACTAAATCGATTACATGGATCACACCATGCTGAGAGGGTCTTTTCGACGTTCAGTGAATCCTTTAAAATTTTAATGAAATCACCATTCTCGTGTTGAGCGTTGTTGACTGGATAGATCAAATTGCATACGAGTACAACATTATTTTTCACCTTTTTCTCATTACATTTAAGACATCGATGGATGACCCGTTGCTTGATACCGAATAATGAACTTACATCCGTTATTTCTGATCCATTGTTGGTCTCTCCGTCTTCTTTCTTTTCAGCTTCAAGGAACTGATATTTATCTTGTTCTATTTCTGCTTGTGCTTTATCCTCCTCAGGATGGTCTTCAGCTAGCGATGCTTCTTCTAAACGCTTACTAACAGACGAGATTAACTTTGAAATATCTACAGACTGTGTGGATATGCTGTTCTTCATACTCGCATCGAGCAATTCATTGTGAACTTGATGTAATATAAATCGATTCCAATTTTGAATGAGACGAATAAGATTAATGTTTCTGTTAGGATTTCTGTCACTTATGACAAGTCCTAAGGCAGCAACTTCAGGAACTGTTCGGAATGATCTCAAAAAATTGCTAGCTTGGCATGGCTGCTTACTTTTATTATATTTTAACATGTGGAATAAAAATCCAAGCTCACAACTAAGACAAAATTCTTTTGAGCATGTATGAGTAACAAGTGCCTCTCTTAATGGATAAAAGAAGAAGAGAACTTGCAACATTCCATTACAATATGCATTAGGAAGTAAATTTTCGAGTCCACAAAACTCAGTTTGATTATATTCTGTAAAATCAAAGTCTATTGTTCCTTTATACTTTACTTCCAATTTCTGATAATGCTTTGGAATTGATGACAATGATGATGTTATAGAAATGGATGTACTTGCAGATATTTCTGGATCATCATAAAGTGATTCACTGTCCATTAAATATGGAATTTGATTCCTTCGAGTTGTTCGAGGATTCGATGCATAGCTTATTGTTCCTTGTTGCTTCATTGTATTCAAAATAATCGGTTCTATTGGCTTCGGTCGCCGATATTTATATTCACACATTTGCTTAGGTAAATCACTCGACCATCGTCCACTTTGAAGCTGTGGCAAAAGAATCGATGCTAATGGAAAATTGATATCTGTAATGGATACAAATGGAAGTGGCTCCGGTGTATCAGCAAATTCAGTGTCACGAGAAAAGTTATTGAATTGTGGTTCAGGCGACGTTATTGAAGAAATGAGACTCAATTGTCCTGAATTATCACCGAATGCCATTGTTTGGTTGGATGACGAAATATCAAATGACATGCATTGTGATGCCACATTAATTTGATACATGCATACTCTTGGTTGAGTCAGTTCTACTGTATCGACTAATTGAAGCTGCCCTAGTGGTGAGACAATTGCAACACGAGATACAAATGACGGAAGGAAACGTAATAAGGTGGGATCAATTAACACTTGAATCGGTGAGACGAGTCGTAACATTCGCATGTCATAGACCATTAAAAATCTATCAACTGTTAATTTTCCGTTTAAGTCACTTAAGCCGCATGAGATCAAATAATTTCCTTGAACGTCAAAGTCATTTAAGGAAGCTGAATGTGTCGAGAGTCTTTGCTCCTCGTGAAGTGTCAACGGGTCTCTTAATGATATAAAACCACGAACATCACCACAACAAAGGAACCGCGAATGATCATATTTACGTATAATTGCACAGCCGTGATCTCCTGCATCAACAATAGCTTGCTCAGTTTGTGTTGTAGGATCAAAATCAATTATGTTTGCTTGATGTCCAGCTAGTAAAAGTCGTGTCGGTGACAGGCTGTACATGCAAAGTGCATCAGTCAAGTTTTTTGAACGATGAGTAAATTTTGGAATTCCACGTCTTATTTGATGTCTTAAAGAGGAACTTGTTAGAGCATAAATTCCATCAGATGTTGTCTCAATTTGATTGACAATCTCAGTCTGATGTACACGGAATGATGTGTACTTTTGCATTGAGTTCCCATAATAACTTGTGACATAGCCAGATTGATTTCCAGTCCATACTAACTCCTCATTGGTATCAAACTTTACAGTTGTGATTCCACACGATATGTTGGAGCTAGTTATAGTTCCTAATTCCAAGTATTCAGCCTCATCTTGCCCAATATTAAAAATATTTGGCTCAAAAACTAAAATACATATTTTATTTGATAAAATGTGATTGAAAAGGACTGCATTTTTTTGTCTTACGTGGAGTGAATGCTTGATTCATTATAATACTGTTTATTCCTTCCAAAAACTTAGTTTAGCTATTAAAAATCATGAAATAATTTTTTTGACCTACAACAAATTTCGCATCACCTTGACTGTCAACTGAGTTTAGGATATAATGAGCTAATTGTGTGCCGTTTTGTCTAAAAATATTCTCAAAAACAAAAATTTGCCACAGAAACTATTAAAATTGTCAAATTTTTCAAAATATCTTTGAATTTAAAAAATTATAGCAGAGGTCGAAGTTGGTGAAGTGAAGTCGTTTCACTTCACTTCACTTCACTTCACTAAAATTTCAATCGGTTTCAAGTCAGCTCGAGTGAACTCATTATTTTTGTGTTCACTCGAGTCGACTTTTAACCGAGTTGATTTTTTCATGTTCACTTTAGTCGACTTGAAACCGACTTGATTTTTTCGTGTTCACTCGAGTCAACTTTTAACCGAGTTGATTTTTTCATGTTCACTTTAGTCGACTTGAAACCGACTTGAGTTCACTAAGGAAAAAAAATGTAATATACTAAACTGATTTCTGCTAGTGCTTGTGAAGTATATGTGATTACATACAAAATTGCAGAATTTGTCCTTTTTTACTTTTCATAACCATAAAGCAAACTACACGAATTAATTTAAAATATTTTTCAAACTTCCAGTTTATTGTAATTCAAGTTTTAAATTTTTTTCATTATTTATGTTTGTACCTTAAAGAAATTTAACTCTATAAATAAAAAAAAATAAGTGTTATATTTAATGGTGAAATTAAAAACAAGTGAGAAAAAAAATAGAATTTACGATTCATTCAGTGCATTCATCAATATATCAATGTTGTCAAACAAATAAATCTGAGATTAAAATATATTCACCAAAATTGGAAATATGGTGTGAATTAAAATAAATTTCATTCATAATTGTAGCAGTTCGTAATAAATAATTTCAAATCAGAAAAATAATCTATAGTGCAAAACATTTATAAAATATATGAAATTTTAAAAAATATTTTAAATTAATTCGTTTAGTTTGCTTTATGGTTATGAGAAGTAAAAAAGGACAAATTCTGCAATTTTGTATGTAATCACATATACTTCACAAGCACTAGCAGAAATCAGTTTGGTATATTACATTTTTTTTTCCTTAGTGAACTCAACTCGGTTAAAAGTCGACTAAAGTGAACATGAAAAAATCAACTCGGTTAAAAGTTGACTCGAGTGAACACGAAAAAAATGAGTTCACTCGAGCTGACTTGAAACCGATTGAAATTTTAGTGAAGTGAAGTGAGTTTGCTTCATCGACTTCGACCTCTGAATTATAGTCAATTCTATAACTTTTATGTATAGCGTTTAGTTCATATTCAAATCAAAACATTGAGAGATCCTAAATTCCTACTTGCAAACCGTGTAAATACACGAACAGCTGAGCGAAAAGTAAGAATGTATTAGTGAGGGGAGAATCAACTGAATTCAGTCAATGTGAAAAAATAAAAACAGAAAAAAATATTGAAAATTCGTGTTTTTGATAAATTCTGCTAGTTTTTAAGTAAACTTTAATCCAAAGATGTATTGGATATCAACCACAGAACGTGTTAAACTTAATTATGCTATGACAACAGTAGCAGCAATCGTAGTTTATACATTTTTCGTTCAATTTGTGCCGCAAAAGTTATGGCTTTCTGTACTTTTCTTCATTGTTGGAGAATGCTTAAAAGTTTTCATTGTCCAGAAACTTTATAAGCTTGACACAACTAATAACATGGAAGGGGTACTAAAGCGAAGGCGAAATAACAAAGTCATGGAGAGTCTGAAGTTTGGATTTGTTATGAGTCTTACAGTCTTTTTCTTTGCGTTTATTTGCATAATCTTGGGAGGTAAATGTTACTCATGTCTTTTTCAATCTATTGTACCTTGATTATCACACTTCTATTTATAGCACCGGCACTTGAGAAATACCTTGAAACCTTCACATTGTCAGCATTACTCACAGGAATCACATTATTTCCAATATCCTTGTTCATCGGCGTCAGTGGAACTATCTCAATTCTAATGACCGAGTCATTTGATCTCAGCAATGTTACCGCACAAGCCTTCTTGAAGCTATTGAAACGCAATGCATATCTAGTCATTTTTGGAGCATTCATTGGCAGTGTTGTATTCCCATTAGATTGGGACCGTCCATGGCAAATATATCCAATTCCTAATATTGTTGGTGCCGTCACTGGACAAATGCTTGGATCATTCTATTGTCTTGTTGAAACTATGGTTAAGCATAAGCTTGGCAAGAAGCAGCATTAAACTTACAATTAGCTTAATTATCATTCAAGTCACTAGCCGCTTTAGAAATTTAAGGTAGAATTTACTTACATTTTGTGTCCTTAAGCATTTTTGTGTGGCGTTTATTAAATTTTGACTCTAAGGCTTAACCAAAAACAGCTTGTCTTGCATTTTTTCTTGTCAATTGAAACTATTTCAGCTATAATAACATAATTTAAATTTGTAGATAATCAACAACAGTTCATACGAGCTTTAACATCCTTAAGAAGATGACTTCTGGCCTTATCAATTTTGTTTTTGTTACTCCTGACCAATTTTTTCTTCTTCCTCATTGACTTGACTGATATCTAAATCTGAATCATCCATTGTCCCAACTGGTTATTGTTCTCATACGATAGGCTTTGGTCGGTCTCATCATACACATTTTTTTATGGCTTGTCTGTCTTCTTCTTGTTTTAATGATTAAACACAAAAAATTAAGTTTTGTAGATTGTTATTAGATTGAAAATGGAGCGCATGTGTATCCTTAGAATCTGTCTGATAGTCGTTTTATGTTCTACGATGTTTAGCATTTTAGAAAAGAAGAAGAAGAATTGATTGCGACTAAAGAGATGGAATTGGTTTGACTAGTTTTCAAATTTAATTAAATTCTCTAGAATTGCCAAATTTTAAGCAATTAATCTATTCATAAAATTTTATCTGCTCATTCATCCTCAAATCAAGTTCCGTCCATTGAGTATTTTGGGTATAAAAAGCTCATTTAAGCTTCCAATGTAAAACGAAATTTATCACACCATCATATGGCATGTAAGGATGTATGAGTGTGGGATGGAGAATATATGGAGCATTACTGACGAAATGTCAACAGAGTGTTTTCCGACAATTTGAATTAAATTAAATTCCATCACATCCACATAATTCTCTAATCTTTTTACAAATATCACATAAAAAATTCTTTATATTTTCATCATCCTTTGCTGTTTATTTCTGGTTAATTTGAGGAATTCTTGTTTAGATAAATATGGAATGTCTTTTGGTTTTATTGATTGTCGGCGCATTATCATTACTATGAGTTTTTAATCAATAGATTTGATTTGAATTGAACTGAATTGAACTGAATTGAACTGAATTGAACTGAATTGAACTGAATTGAACTGAATTGAACTGAATTGAACTGAATTGAACTGCATTTAAATGAATTAAAATGAATTGAACTGAAATGAATTAAACTGAGTTGAACTGAATTGAAATTTATTGAAATTTATGAATTGAAATGAATTGAACTGAATTGAACTGAATTAAAATGAATAGAACTGAAATGAATTGAACTGAATTAAAATGAATTAAAATGAAATGAATTGAAATCAATTGAAATCAATTGAAATGAATTGAACTGAATTGAACTGAATTGAACTGAATTGACATGAATAGAACTGAAATGAATTAAAATGAATTGAAATGAATTGAACTGAATTGAACTGAATTGAAATGAATTGAAATGAATTGAACTGAAATGAATTGAAATTAATTGAAATGAATTGAACTGAATAGAACTGAATTGAACTAAATTGAATTGAAACAAGATTAAAGTTGTCTTAATAGGATTAGATCTTCGAGACAAGATAATTACTTGAAGTCAAGCAGACATCCCAAGAAGTCAAAGATAGCTCTAATTAGATTTAAATTCTCAAACTATCTTAAAAATTCCAAACATACACATATGGATTGGTCCATGAATGAATGAATAAATGAATGAATGCAAGAACATTTAAATTTTATTATTTTGAGGACAGCCATAAAAGTCTCAAATTTTACGACTGCATGTTCAACATCATCAAGTCATTCAACATTGTCATGACAGACCTAAAAGCTCAAAATTCAATAAAGTCTACATGTACTTTGAGCGACACATCCATGTCGTGGAACGGAGAAGAATAAGTGGAGCATGATAGCTTCTGTTCTGTATGTATGCTTAAAATTAAATGTACTTACTTAAAAATTTTCCCTCTTATCATTATCACGATTGTCGTCATCAACCGCATATAACAATGAATAAGAATGAATAGAAAAACTTCCTGACGAATTTCTTTCTCGAGGATGGATGTGCTTAATAAATCATTTTGGTACAGCATTCATTCTATGAAATTTATCTTCTATGAGGGCAAGTTTTGAGTGAACTTCAGGTATTTTATGTATTTTTAATGTTGAAATGTTGGTGTTCATAAATTATTTTTTGAGACTTTAAAAGAATTTCGTTTTGTGGTTTATAGAAGTAAAAGAAATGTGATTGACTAAAAATTTGATGGAATAAATTACAAGAAAGCTAGACGAAATAGAAAATCGGTGTTTGTGAAAGTTTCTAGAAGGTCGGAGTCGAAGTAGGATAAGAAATAAATCCAATTGATGAAGTTGATTTAAGTTTAAGATTTGGACAGAACAGATTTGATCAAGAAGGTATAAGTAAGTTGTAAATCACCGATTTAGTCTTTAATTTGTTCATTGTTGCTGTTCTTCATATGAACTCTTTCAAACCTAATCTTAAATTCGACTGGACTTTAAAATGGTGACAATAAATGCACAATCCAGGTTAATGCCGAATTTGAGCTACACCGAAACTTAACCAACTCTTAACTTGTCTTATTTATATCTGTTTAATTTAAGTATCTTAATTTAATAGTCGATCACTTTAATTGAGCTTCAATTCTTAAATGCTTCGCTCATTTTCCTATATTCTAATCACATTTACATTAATAATCTCTTGTAATCCTTTATTCATATTCATATTAATTCCAAAGATCAAAATCATCCCCAATATTACCAATTCAGTTTTACATCCAAACCAAATTGTTAAGATAACTTTAATTGACTACAATACATAATTCCTACCATATACATACATTTATCAATAAAACAGAGCAAGAGAGAAACATCATGCAGTGTGAACAATAAATTTACTGCTGTGAAATGAGTTAATGAGTCATCAAAATTGATGATTATTTAATGCAATGTAATAAGCACATAATAAAAATATTATTCATTGAGCAGCGCCAGGTTAATATGAAATGTTTTATTTAAGCGTCTTATATTTTTTTTTGTAAGGAGGTCGATTATAAATCAATTCCATCCATCAAGGGATGTAACCAACAATATACTTCGATATGAAATTTAACCTCAAAATAAAGTGTGAGAAGCTACTAAAAGATGAGTTGGTCATACTTACATGTTGGGGACGTCCAATGTTTTAGCGGGAGTCTTGTAACTTTACTAAATTGCAAGTTCTGACTTAAAGATTCAAATTAATTCCGTCCCTGAATGTACATCATACCTCAACGACCCCTCATAGAATTAAGCATAACTTTTATCATCCCAAATAAATCAAACTGAACAGAAAGCAGCAAACGTCCAAACATAATAGAGATCATCATTACCGTCATATTCTGAGAAAAGATAAAGAAGGTTTTAAGCTGATTATAACATCACATTATCATGAATATATTCATCGCAAAAAAAAGTGGTTATATAAGAAACAACAGAGAGTCAAGTATGCCATCATCCTTATGCCAGTTCCTTGTTATGTGACAACAAAAAAAAGCTTTAACTTTTTTTTTCGGGAAGTTTATTTACTTCACCAGTATGCTAATGACATAAAAGAATTACATAAGTGACAGACGTAATGTTCTGTTGAGAATGCTTTAAGTCTAATTTTCCTCTTACTTATACCTCAAGTAGCTGAAAGTCATTCATATGTGCATGAATAAAAGTGTCTGTACACAAAAGAATGGAATGAAAAGTTCCGAAAAGATGATAAATATATACATCAGCGAGATATGGCATTGACTGTGAGTTAAATACGTGAAGAAAGTTTGGTGCTTACAGTTTTTTGTTCTCGAGAGGATGTGAAGGAGAAAAATTTAAATTTTTTGGGGATACAATTTTGATTTTAACTGAGGAATTTTAGATTAAAAGTCGATGATTTTAACTGGATGCGGTTGTTCAACTGGAGCAGCGATAAGTCCTAAAATTTGAATATAAACGCTTGAGGGGAAGCGTAGTTCCAAGTATTGTTAGGTTCCATGTTAATATTTTCTGATTCCCATTTACAATTTGATACGACGACGAGAGAGAGTAGCTTGATTGCTAGGAAGTACCTTGACAGCGCTGAGTCAGATGTGGTGAACACATTTACAATGAAAAAAGTAGCTGGTGGCTCCTAAAATGCGCTCCATCCCCATCTATTCATCTCAAATGTCCTTCAATTTTCATTCTTCAGAACACCACAAAAAGCACATAAAAAATAAAGTCTTCATATCATCATCACATAATGAAGGTAAATTGAGGCTCCTAAAAATAAAATCGTGACTTAAAGGCAAGAATTCCCACAAACACAATACAGAAATTATCTATTGTTAAATCTCCATAGGAATTCCATCGTGTGTACACAACACATCATAGATATTAAATTAAGGACACATGAGATCAATAAAGTTTTTAAGGGACATCAATTTTGCTGAGTTTTATAAATGAGATTAAATTTATCGCCTTAATTTTTTAAGTGCCAGACTTTCTCGTATTTTGAGTGCCTTTCTTGATCCACTGACGTAATCTCAAATTGTAAAGTCGATAACGCAGGACATTATATTAAAATTTACGAGCTCGGATCAAAATTTATGACTTTTTTTTGCACTACGAATGAGCTTTCACCTTTAAGAATTATTTTTTAATGTCAAAAGATCACGAGCTAGTAGCTGTGGCTGTTATTCAAGGAAAATAATGGATAAGTGAAAAGAAAAGTTTTGCATAATCGTGAATGCATACGGCTCATTATTTTTAATTGGATTATGATAATGTGATGAGGTTATGATTATACTCTTATGAGGAATCACCATTAAAAACGTTTAAGCTTATTCTTTTGTTGATAATAGTTGCCGTAGGTTTCATGTTGCATTATGATACAAAAGCTTATTGGTTAAATGAGATTCTGATTTTGTAAGTCAGGGGCAGGTTTTTAAGGCTACTAAAACTCAATGCTGAAATGATTCCACATCAGTACCTCAATTTTAACTATCACACTAAAATTGTTATCTGCACACCCTTTAGACATACAGTTTATAGTGGAATCTGAACCGCTTGCAAGCTCTGCACATTGCAAAGAC